CCTGGATTTTTCCAATGGCACCAGTTCCATAGGGCACAAATGGACACTTCCAAAACCTAAATAACTGGTACCGTCCGTCGACTTAAAATTTAATAATTCTCATCCAGAAGAAAAAAGATATCATACCACGGACCGTAAGGCAAAACAGGCCACATCCTAAACGTCCTGTACTGGTATCGTCCGACGGCTCAAAATTTATTATTTTTCAACAAGAAGCAAATAGACATTATACCATGAACCGACAGGTGGATCTGGCTACATATGGATACCCGGAACCGATTCCAGCAGGACCAAAACTTCCAACACTTCCAAAACCTTGAGCCCTACCAGAACCGGTTTCGGGTATCCGGATGTGGTCAGTCCACTTTTTGGTCAGTGGCATGATGTCTATTTACTTCTGGATAAAAAATCATACAGTTTTGATCCATCGGACGCTATCAGGGCATGAGGATTATGAAGTTTCGTTTTTAGGCCCTTCCAGAACCGGTTTCGGGTAAGATTGGATAAGATCCTTCTGTTGGTCCATGGCATGATTGCTTATGGATGAAAAATTATAAATTTGATCCGTCAGACGGTAGCAGTACACGAGTTTAAGGATATGTCCTTTTTGTAGCCCTACCGGAACCGGAGCACCTAAATTTACATCAATTCTTCTAAGCGGGTAGTAACGTGAATGAGTAATGCAGAGAAGGACAACGAGTTCACAAATAGGCGCGAAAATTGGACAGAAGGGTAAAGAAATAGCGAAAGCTGGTGAGATCGTTTTAAATTTTTAATTTTTATTATTGCTCATATTAACAGCATTGCGGTATTGGGAGGGACCACCAGGGCACGTGCTTGAAGCGATTTGGATGGGAAGAGTAAAATAGTCAACTCCCTGTTGTTAACATCTCGTGGAAAAGGGCGAGCTCTTCTCCACACTTATTGAGGTATCCTTCTATCAGATGCTCATTTTTTGACCAATTGTATGATCAAGTGGCTGGAAGGAGATTCTCCACCATCCCGTGGGGGCGTTTAGGTGAATTTACCTATCATTCCACCAAACCCGTTTTTGGACCTTCATACAGTGACATGTTGAGGACAATCAGAGGATATTGAGCTTGATGAAATCAAATAGTGAGCAGCGCCCAATGCTATTGGAATTAGTTTCCGTGCTACAATAAGTGGTAGACAATTATCATACATCATAAATATTGAACAAACCGCTCAAACATAAATAATTTTTTTTATTATTTTTTCGTTTGTTATTTTCTGATGGATGAAATAAAGTTTGTGGATCTCGAGCTAACTTGACTTAACTTGATGCAATGTAATATGGTTCCCAAGTAACATTGTAAGTTTTATTGAGGTCTTAAAGCACTCTACAAGTCTAAATCATGGTCTACAGTACCCTCATAAAACCCAAATTGTTACTTGAGTTATAATTGAATACCATTAAAGTGATTTTTTTTATCTAATCATAGACTATCAAAAAAGTAGCCCCTGGGCTCCCTCCAATTCCTAGGTACGCCAATGGTGCTAAGTACAATGACACTCTATGCCCAGGGAAGTCGAGAAAATTTCCAATCCAAAATGTTCCGTACCGGGAATCTAACTCACCGCCTCCGGCTTGGTAATACCGTACCTTTACTGACTCGTCTGTCTGAGGCCCAAAAATTGCATCAATTGTTCTAAAATATCTGGGGAACTGCAACTTTCCCGGCTGACTGGATGCCAGACGTCAAAATGAAAGTCACTGAGAAGGAAGGTTTGGCTGTGTGCTACAATTGGAGAGTCATGTCACTGCGTACCCAAGCAGCACACTTCCATCGAAATAAGTTGCAACTTGATTGTGACTGAAATAAGGTCACATATGTTACCACAATTCTTCAGAGACAAGTGTGCTGCTAGGGTACTGTTTTCGATGTCCTGGGCAAGGTTATCTTGAATCAAATATAGGAAAAAAAAAATGACATAAACAACGAAATCGCTTACAAGCTTGCATACAATATTGCTCATTTAAGCGATATTGTGCTTAAAATTAAACGAAATATCTTGTAAATTTATGCCAAATCTAGCGTTAATTTTATGTGTGCTATATCTAGCAGAAATTTACATGAATTTTTCAAACGGTGTGGAGGTAAAAGGCAAAATTTTGTGCTGTCCAAGGGTCGCTACATTTGATATTCATTGACATTTTTTGACCAACTCAAATAAAGAATGTGTGGGGCGCCCTGAGATGAAATCTTAAAGTATTTGGGGATGGCCAGAACGTAGTGGTTAACATCCATACCTCTCACACTACAGTCATCAGTTCAAATCTGATCCCCGTCACGGATGACCCAAGAGCAGCGAATTCAAACTCATAATGCAACCAATGATAAAGACAAAACGCTTGCTACTATACCACGATAAACTCTCTCTGTAATATAGCTTGATGGGAGTTTGAGAAGGATAATGATATGATGCTTGCCTGATTTGTTGCAATATACAAAGTTGAGGACATAGCTTGATCGGAATCGAGAAAAGGATTAACAAACAAAAGTCCATTAAAACACGTGAAGCAGCTTGCCCAAATATGATCGATTCCATCTACTGGCCCGAGTGAGCTATATTGCAAAGGCAGTTTTTCATGACAAAAAAAGGAAGAAAATTTTATCATTTTAGCTTTCCATTTCTGGCATTTCTGACATAACGTTGATCGCTTATCATTTGGCATTCCTTGCCCAAGAGTGTTGAGGAGCCTTTAATAATAAAACATAAATCTAAAAGTAGGCTCTCAATTTTATTTGATTAGTTTGAATCAACATTTGCGGACAAGAGCTCGTTCTGTTCAGATGAATATTAGATTTGATCGTGAAGTATAGAATGTTTTAAAACAATAGTCCTCTACGGCCGGACAGCAAAATACCATCGTTCCTGGATGTGCTCAAGTTCTATGGACGTTTTGAAACTTTCGGTGGCTGACATTCACACAATCTTCAAAGTTAAAATTGGCGGACAATTCTACATCAAACTAATCGACGATCACACGTTCTCTGCGTTCATTTCCGAAGCACATGAATGGTTCAACTTCCAGTACGGAAGGAGGAACAGCAAGAGTCCAAGTGGACCAAGCATAACGGATTTTCAGGTACGTTCGCATTTTCAACTTACCACCAGAAATCGCAGATCGGGAGATCCAGTATGTACTGGGTCAATACGGAACAATCCGACAGCACGTGCGAGAGAGGTTTTCAAGTGAAATGAAAATGAACATTTTTACTGGAATTCGAGGCGTCCAAAATAGAACATGTAACAAAATTATGAAAGATTTTGAACGTTAATAACTCAGCTGCCCCTAGACAAATTTCAATAATTTTATTACGAGTCGATCAGAAATATTCCAACGCATCGGAAAAAAATAATACTTTATCATTTTTTTTAAATGTCACTAGATGATAAAAATTATATTGCTAGATGATTAAAATTATCACCGATTGCCTGCGAAAAAAGATTTCCCTAACACAGGTTTCAAAGTTTAATTCCATCCGGTCTCACCAAACGGTGTTTATTCAATCATCCTCATCATGCGTAGTGTTCTCCTGTAAACAACGAAAGGCTCCCCGCAAGCAGCTTGTTACCAAGGCTGGCCTCAACCGCTGATCGGATTCAGTCCAATCACCGTTTATGTCGGTGTCCGGTCGTCGGCATCAGCAGCAGCAGCAGTGCTTTCGGTGCGTGGCGTTGAACATTGTTCTCCAGTACACAACGAAAGGCTGCCTGCAAGCAGCGAGCTCCTGCTGCAGTTAACAAATAAGATTTATTATTTAAGATAACGTAGTCCTACGTCACCATTGCGTACAACTCCATAGGGCTGTCCCTTGTAGTTTTTTTTTTATAAAGGTTTGAAAGGTCGATGTTTTTTCTGCAAAGCAGAAGGACAAATATTGCCCAAGCTGGTGGTGATACCTTCAGAAAGTGGAGGTTAACCGATTCTATCTGGTAGTGGTGGTTCACCGCAGTCGCCGAAGCCTTTAGGCAGCGGGGTTGCAACCAATTCTGCCGGGGACACCGGGGGTAAGCCCAGTCTTGCCGGAGTTAGTGAGGTCAAACCTAGCCCTGTCGGGAGGCGCGGAGTCAAAACTAGCCCTGCCGGTGGCAGCGGTTCTCCCCTGGGCAGACCAAATAAACCAGTAATTGACAACAGTGCACCAGTTACTCCGCAAATGACGGTTCTAAGGAAGAACCCTGAGAGCAAACCTGATCCAAACATGCAGAACGCCAGATCTCAGAAAACAGCGACATCAACAGTCTCGACAACGGCAACGGTTCCGAAGAATAATAGCGGTGCTACAACGGGCACACCAACAAGTACTTCTGGTGGTAATGCGTGTGAAACCACGACTACAATGGAAGATGAAGTAAGCGAACAACAACCGGTTACGGAGAGTTCAGAAAGCGAGGAGGTATCAACCGAAGATACAGCCAGTTTCCAGCAAAAAATGGAACATGGTAAGGTCAAAGGAAATCCACAGACACCGCAATTCGTAAGTAGACTGCCAAGAAATAAGAAAAACAAGCAGCAAGGTAGGATCGTTTCCCCCTGCCTACGATTTAAAAGTTCATCTCTTTTTATTGAACCAAAAATGTTTTCTAGGATTTTAGCTATTAATGTTTAATCAGCTCAAGAATCAAGATTAACATGCTCAAAGATTTTGTGTGGAACAATGACATTGATTTCGTGTTTCAGCAAGAAGTTTCTTTCGAAGATTTTAGTTTTATTATTGCGTTGGTCAATATCAGCGAGGATCGTAAAGGCACTGCTGTATTGATAAAAAAAAACATCAATTTTAATGAAGTGCGTATCAAATTAAGACTTTCGCAACAAAAGAATGCACCGTCATTCAAAAGGTTAAAAGGTGTCAGCAAGCACGCTGCCATAAAGTAAAGGACTTTTATGCTAATCCTTACCGTTGCTTTTCCTTCTACGCACATAGATTGACATTTCATAAAGTTTTCCATTTCCAAAAACAAATTACCTTGAGCATAATGCAGTACCAGCAGCAACTGGAACACGCCTGTCAGGAGATATCGCGGCCAACATCCAGCCGACCTGCTGTTCAAGCTGCCTCCTTTTCCTCCACCACCACCAGGCGCAGCAGCACCAAAGGCCGCAAAAAATTTATCCATATTTATCAGCTTTACACTTTTTTTTCTCGGTCTTCGTTAATCGATTTTTTTTTTGCTTCTTCCGTACCGCAACTTTCAGAGGAAAAAGTTCATTCCTTCAATTCCATCAGGAAAAACATTGCACAGTTTTCACATTTTTTCTTCCGTTCGCATTCACTCAACGTACTTCGTGGAAAAATTCACGTCCGTCACGCACATCCAACATTCTAACCGAGCTGGCAGAAAGTATCAGCTTCAACATCAACAAAAACAGAAAAGAAGAAAAAGAAGCCAACGAAGGCAGCGGCACCCAAAAACTTGATGATAATCACTGTGTAATTTCCATTCACTTCCCCTCCTCAACGCTTCTTCGCTGCTGGGCCGGGGCGCTTCTTCCTTTCTCACTCGCCAGCAGCAAATGGGCTCGCTCTATTCAACAGTGTAATATCATTAATTTTCTTCTCTTCACACCGCAGGATCACGTTTTTCTTCTATTTTTTTTTTTCTGCCTGCTAACTTCGAACAAATGCGTCGTCCTTGTGGCAGGGATATTTACCACCCCATTAGGAGAGGATGACTCGTTTTCTTCTTTCGATTCTGTTTCGGGGTGCTCGACTTGGCTGCCGCAAATCACATTCAATTAATCAAATTTTCACAGTTTCCACACTCAATCATCATTCGCGTATTAATACCCAACTTCTTCCGCTCGTTTTCTCCCAAACGTGAGCGACGTGCACCGATTCCGGAAAAGGTCCCACCTCGGAGGGGGTGAAAGCTCACTTTATGGTTCTATTATTCACTCGTTGCCAGATTGCTTCCTTCTTGATTTTACTTCATTCAGGGAAAAAAAAAAATATGGAACTGACCCTCTCGTTATTCATCTTGGCAATAAAACTGCCAGCCAACGTAAACAACAATCGAAACTGGTCTCACCCCCTTTCGCTGGATCTAGTCGCGCGCCTATTCAAGCTGTCACACCGCCATCGACAAGCCAGGCGAGGGTGTCACACTCTTAAGGTTAATGATTTTCCTCCACCATCACACCCTTGTCAATGTAGGTATTTCCTCCGAACCCACGCGCTCAACTTTTCTTTCTTCAAACCGCAATATGGTTTCACGCTCTCTTTAACCCTCGTGAAATTCACTAACTCACGAAGATCGATCCCAAGAACTTCCGTCTCTTATCGGGTCAACAACGCAAAAGCACACACTCGACCCCATCGGCTGAGACAGTCAAGGGCCTATCGGAAAACCACCTGTCCAGGTACGATTTGCCAATTAATCATCCTCCTCCACCATTCCTTTTGATGGGCATGGCAAAGTTAGTGCACTGGGAGGGAAAAAGCACAGAATTCAGTCAAATTCCATCCACACTCAAAAGACACCCGAAAACGTGAAGAGCTACCCGCGAAACGACTCACTCGGCTCGACTGCCAAACTGGCACTACTCCACACGGCCCGACCCGGGGGGAATTGCTCCAATCCGAACGGAACGACCAGTCGTCAACCAACGACGAACACTCGAGCCATCAGCAGCTGTTCGTTGGGACCGAGTTCATCTAAAGGTATTTTCCCTTCCTGATGGCTTGTTTGGGTTCTGCTCCTGCTAGCATCAGGATGTTTATCCTGTTCACCAGGCCAACGACATCGGAACGAAGTAGGAACGATTCTGCGCACAGCAAGGGCTGGTGGATCTCCGTTCGGCCGACCCCTCGTTCGGGACGAAAGGATAACAAAGTTCCGGACTGGACCAATACCATCAAGCGCTAGACGGTGCTTCTATGCCCAGGTGATGGAACCGGCGAGCTGAAGAGCGAGAGAAGGTCCTTGATAACGACAACGTTGGGGCGGTTGGGCGAAAGGAGAGAAGGAGCAGAGTGCGGTTTGTTTTCATGCTTCTTTTGTGAAGTTGTCGGATGCTTGGAGGGTGGATGGATTCCTGGGTGCAGTTACAAGGACTAGCGTCTGATTGCGAGCGCTCGGCGGAAGTGATGCCAAGGTGCTGGTGAAGTACTAGCAGAATGTGCGGTTTGAGATTAGTTAACACTTCAGCGCCCATTAGGGAACCGGTAAAGTAAACTATTTTCTTTTTATGACAGGTTGTTGGTGCTACTAATCAAATGTGTTTTAGTGAACCAGTTCATAACCATTATGTACACACTTAGAAAAAATCATGTAAATTTAGGTGCTCTGAGACTGACATATACGAGCGTCAATTTTGACATAAAATTGAGTCATAACAGACGCGAAATTCAACTCAATCAAACGTACTTTTCGTCGAGTAACACACTTTTTAGTCTCGGAGCACTTAATTTTACATGAAATATTTGTTTACGTCTGATCCTTTTTATCAAAGATGGATTGCGTCACGTGTAAAATTAGTTATTTCTAAGTGTATATGTTATGTGCAGGAATGGAAAATCATTTACATTCATTTGCCTCTAAATTTTTTCATCAATACACATATAAACCAGTTATGGCGTACCGGTTTTCCCTTATCAATTCGATCACGAATCAGTAAATGTCATTCTATGTGTTGTGTGTGTATTATTCTAATGGTCTGTCACACCCCCAAACGTCTGATTTATCATTGAGAAAAATTTAAGAAAAATCATAACTTCGTCATTTCTGAACCAGTTTTAGATCTTGAGGTCTTTCAAGAACCGGAAGCGCTTCAAACTCAGAAATGTTTCAGGAGAATTGGAAATGCAATCTTGTTCCGGTGGTATGGTATGGTTTTTCAAAAACATAGTCGCATATGAATCATATCATATCGATTTTGAATAAAACAACAAAATAACCTGATCAAAGAGCATTGGAACCATCGACCACATCGACAATATTGAAACCACATACCGGATGTTTCGAAACCCGGTTCCGAGAACCATTTTGCGCTCCGACAGAACAAGGGCATTCGACACATCAGTTCACAATAATTTTCAATAGCGAGTACGATGGTGCTATAGAGATCTCTCCTGGGCATACTCTGACCACAGTGGCTAGAACCCGAATCATCTGAAATCCAGTTCCGAGGACCACTTTTTGTTCCAACAGAACAAGGGCATGCGACATATCAATTCACGATAATTTTCAATGGTGAGTGCGATGGTGTACCAGAAATGCTTTCTGGACGTAATATGGCAACAGTGGATACTATCCGGATCTTCAGAAATTGGGTTCCGAAGACCAATTTCTTCCTGACAGAACATGGACAAGTGACAAATCAATTTAAGCTAATTTTCAATGACGAGTACGATGGAATACCAGAGAACCCTCTGAGACGTAATCTTGCGATAGTGAACAATATTCGGATCGTCCAAAATCATGTTTCAAGGACCCCTATTCACCCCGACAGAACATTGACATACAACACATCCATTTACGCTAATTTCCAATGATGTATTAAAGATATCAAAGATCCTTCCTGAAAATAATTTGGCCACAGTGGCCATTTTCCGGATCTTCCTAAATCTAGTTGCAAGGACCACTTCTCTCCTCGCCAGATTATGGGCAATCAATTTACGCTAATTCTCAAGGCAAGTATGATGGAGTATCAGAGATCTCTCCTAGACGTAACCAGTTCACAGTTGCCAGTATCCGGATCTTCCAAAATTCGGAACCGAGGAACACAACATGGGGCTATGACAGATCAAGTTACGCTAATTTTCATAGGTGAGTGTGATGGAGTACCAGCGATTCATGGTGGACATAATGTGACCATGTGGTCAATTTCAAGATATTTCAAAATCCGGCTCAAATAACCACTTTTCTCCCCGCAAAAACATGGACAGACATCATTTCACACAACGGTGAGTACCATGAAGAAACAGAGATTCCTCCAAGATGTCACCTTACACTGCTGGTACGTCGAAAAATTGATTCGAAATGACTCATGATACGGGTGCACGATATTCTACATAAGATACGATGTACTGCATGAAGTTGCAGAAGAAGTACATGCGAGTTTTCCGCTGCGACAATTTCATGTTGCTGCGGTTAGCCGTACTGACCCTTCAACTACAATGGTCATAATGGACTGCGGTATACGGTAGAAAGGCAAAACGGGGAATTTTTTTTTCCCAAGCAACACAGTTTGTCATAAACTGGTTTACATAACTTATATATGATAATCTCAGCTGTAAAAAATTACTTCTAGTCACTTATATTCAACTCATTTATAACGAAAAAAGTGCAAGAGGTGGGATCTATACATAACATATGTCATGTTATATGAGGGGGTTAGAAGGAAAGGGGTGTAAGTGACTTTGATCGATTCTCTTCATCGACTTTCGCTTTTGATAGCCACAGCTTTATAAACAGATTTATGCCACATAGTTTGATAAAGGAGGTTCTCATCTAGCATTCAGAATGGCACACGAATCAAGGAATGTGTTTGCAGTGGAGTTATTAACGAAAGAGAAAGTCCATGAAGAGAATCGGGCAATGTGACTTACACTTCTTTCCTTCTAACCCCCTCATATATGACTGACTTGCGCAACTTATGTATGACTATACATAAGCAACCTACTGATTTGAACATATTGTTAATGAACTTCTAACGAATGGAATTTGTTTATTTTTCCATAATCGATTTACAAAACTTATTCTATGCAACTGATAAGCTCTTTGGAAAACCTACAATAAACTATCTTTTTTATTTATCATTATGCATGTGATGTTGAAAGCACAACTGAAAGATTTTTTCATTCTATGTATTGCTTCATTGGTCAGCGATATTGCAGTTCAATTTGTATAAAACATTGAAACATTACATAATTTGATGATGCTTATTTCAAATAACTGACTAAAGTGGTCATTTTTAAATGATAGATGAGGAGATGAAAGTATAGAGTTGATAGTTCCCAAGTCCCCGGCAAGGTGACAGATAACCTTAGTTTCACGTACCCACTTGCAAATAGTAGATGTCGCCACACAACGTAGGGATTTTCCTTCACCACTGCAATGGTATTTCTCTATGGAAAACCAACTTTTTGTTTCACCATGGATGACAAACAACAGGCAAGAATGCTATATGAAAAGAGCGAATTTATGATTTTCGTGGTAAAATGAAATAAATTCAAACGAATTGAAACAGATTGGTGGAGGTTCATTTTCTTATGCATCAAATGGCAATAAAAATACTTTGTTGTCTTCTATTTTATTTTCCTCTTGAATAAAATCAGGCTTCAGATTATTTTTTTTTTTGATCAAATTTGTGCGATGAAGGCTTGCTGTATGAATAAATAGAGTTTACTTTCCCGTGTTTCTATGTTCTTGTGTTCTTGTGTGTTCTTCTGATATGCAATATTTCTGAAACTGAACTGAAAATACTCATTAATCACCACAAGAATTTCACCGTTGGGCGTCGAACGGCTTGAAAATATCATCCCATAAGCATCTGCAGCATTCATCAACATGTTTTTTTTTGTAACTATCATATTTAGGAGGATGCAGTAAACAAGCAGCGCAATATATTGATAACATCGTGCATTAATTTTAATTTAAGACTCCAGCTTGAGCAATATGCCGAAAACATAGGAGGCATTAAGAATTTCATCTGCAAAACATATACAAAATTTATTTTATTTGTCGGTGAGTTGCTGGGTGAAGACAAAGCTTTTGTTAATCAATTTAAAATTGAAGAAATAAATAACATTGTTTTATCTAAATCTAAAAATATTCATAATTAGCTTTCAAAACGCATAAATTTAAGTAATTGGCTTTTGTTACACACGTCCGTATCATTAAGGTTATTCCTCACAAAACTTACAGCCTCAAGAAACAAATGAGTCCATAAGTTTGTATGTTCTATTATTTAGCTACACAGTTATGGCAATAGTGACAATGACAACTCAAATACCATGAATAACTCTGGAAAATTTAGTGATCATATAAGTGAAGTGGTTGTTAATCAGAATTTTCTAAAATATCAGCTAAAATTGAGTTTTGACGAATGATCGTTGATCCGTTGTCGCAAAAAAATTGAAAATCTAGTCAAATTGAACAATATATCACATATTTAGCTTAAATGCATTTAAGGCCTTTGACAGACGTACGAAGTACGCCGTTGTACTCTTTTAAGCTTGTACCTTAAGTTTAACATTTTGCAGTACTAGCTGCGTATAATTATCACGCTCTTACTCGCTGCAAACCCATTCTTCTTTGTTCATAATTGATGATAATAGCTACCTATATCCTTGAAAAATTCTCATTTGTTCCAATAAACTCCAATTTTAATTCACAAATCATATGTTTAAGCTTTTGATTCTGTACTGCTCAAATACATATGCTACACCATATAAAAAAGTTTCATAAACCGATTATGTACTGCGCATACTACTGAGAATCAAAACGACATTTCTTGCTGGCATCACTGGAGTTCCTATGTCGCTAATGTCAATTTTTCCGTGGGACGTC